GCGCCTCCATGCGGGCAGCGGTGGGTGATAGTTCCCATGCCGCCGGCCCGTGCACGCACTCCCCGATACGGAGGTGCATGCCGCGCACCGCGTGAGGCAGCGGGCACGGGAGAGGGACGCGACGGAGCAGTCCGCGCGCCGCCGCCGCCGCGAGATGCGGTGGAGCCCAATGAGGACGAGCGACTCCTCGCATGGATCGACTGTCGGTCCCTCGCGACGGCGGAGACAGATGCTTGCTGTCTCTGACGGAAGAACGCCAAGGCGCTCCGGCTTGCTATTGAGCAGTCGGAGCATGAGGCGAAGCAGGCAACGACGGAGAAGGCTCGGGTCGCCAAGTTGAAGCGGGAGCAGGACAGGATGGTCCGTCGGATGAAGGGCTCATCATCCTCTCTGACTCCGACGACGACGACGGTGACCGCGAAAGCTGCATCTTCTTCTCGAACGGCCAAGACCCTCCACCAGCCTCAGACGTCTACAGCTGCGCCGACAACCGGAAGGGCAAAGATTCGGGGAAGAAGTGGTGATCTCACCCCTCCTCCTCATATGTTTATATCGTTTTTAGTTGTAAAAGTTTAAGAACTTATCCAATGACGAACTAAGTTGATCTTTTGGATGTTGCAAAGTTTGTTAATATTCGTTTGTAGTCGATTTTTGTTGTCCGTTATTTCATCACGTAGAATAGCTCAATGTTACACCTGTAGTATGGATATAAAATACCGGATATAAGATACGTGGATACAGAGTAATAAATATTAGTTCTGTCTATTCAGTGCCCGCGCATCCGCGTGTTTTAGGGGCTGAATTAACCCATCGCGGTCGTAGATGTTCTTAAAACGGGACAGCGGGTGCAGGTCACCTGAATTCTCAACTATTTTTCACCTACAGATCAGTAGCTATCCATCTTCACTATTTACTGCTAAATATCTCTCAGTGTACGTCAAAAGAATTATGAGATAATTACGCAGACAATTCTTTTAGCTAAGTTAAATTTCATATTTTATTTTCCCAAAGAATTTGTTAAACATCGAAGCCTGAAAAATTTCTGCTTTCCAGCCAGAAAAATCAAAACCAATATAAGCGCAAAAATGAAAAAAATGCGTGACATAAAAGAAAGCCCAAAAGAAAACCCTTCCACTCCATCCCATCTCTCCCCCTCGCCTCTTTCCCCTTCCCATTTCCATGGAGTCGTGCAGCTTCCGCACCGCCACCTCTCCTTCGCCGTTCCCCTCGGCTCCGTCCTCCTCCTCGTCCGCGCGCGTGCCGTGCCCCAGTCTCCGGTTCGCCGTAAGCAGTGCCCGCCTCAAGCCTATTTCTTTCTCTTTTTGTGTGTTTTGCCGCATCCTTTTCCTGATTTCTTTTCCTTTCCGCGCAGAGAGCAAGAAATGGGAGGCAGATGCGGATGCGGAGGATGGCGTCGGGTTTTGATGCCTTCCCACCCCTCCCAGGCAAAGTCTTCGTCGAGGAGGTGAGATTTCTTGGTTTATTAAAATAATAATAATCCTTTTCTGGATTAATAAAGCAGCTTTCTTGATTAGTATATTTGTTGATTTTCGAGAACCCTGACTTCCCCTAGCTGCAAATGTGCAATTAGATGCTGTTGGGTTGGATTAGCTCCGTGCGGGCTCTGGATTAGCCTATCAAGGACTTATTTCCTTGAACAAATAGTACCATGTACACGGTTACAGGGTTACTTTAGCTTCCTTGCCTTACTTGTGGTAGGCTAGAGTTGGGCTATCTAGATTCTCCGATTTGTCCCTCTCTTCCATTTTAGTGTGTTAGTCAAATGAGGTTCATGTAATTAGGTCAAGTAAAGTGGATCTATGTTAGTTGATGGTTCTGCAGTGAATTATTTCTACCACTAGTTACATTCTGTCCATATAGCCTATAGGTTGATGCTGGATCAGTCAGTGAGATGCTTCTTTGATTAATTGATGGTTTCATCTTTTAGCTGCTCAGTGGAGAAGATAACTGTTTACTAGTCTTTTTTTAATCAAGTTCCTTGCGAATTCTTTCTCTGGATCACCATCATTATTGGGGTCGTAGTTACACAACTGAACCCTTCTCTAGCTAGTTTTAACACCGGTTCACTAAATACAGTTTCTGCAGCATTAGCGATTCTTCTTTTAAACCTTATCTCTTACTGATTAAAAAGATTTTGCATTTATTTCTGTTAGACAATTGGAGCTGAATATGGGGAAGGATTTGAGACTTTCAGGATGGACGGACCACTCAATATCGATGTGGTAAGCATATATCATGATAGGCCACTTGCAATTATGCCATTATGTGCTTTTAGCAGCCTACCATTTCTCTGTTATGTTTAGTGGATGAGCTTTCTTCTACCTTTCAGGATTATCTAAACGAAAAATTGCAAGAATGCTTCCTTCAAAGGATAAGGCATGCTATGAAGCCGGATGAAGCATTTGGTCTAATTTTCTCATGGGACAATGTTATTGTGAGTTTTTTTTCTTGTGTTAGTGACATCGTGTTTGAAATGGCATTTTGGAAAATACTTGCTCGTCTATAGTTACTAATTGCAGCAATAGTCCAAGAAAACTATACTTGTACATAATTCAACATTTACCTGGTTCAGTTGAATTTTTACAGGATTCTTAGTTAAGTAGTTTCATTTGTAGGTGAATCCTCGTATTGTGCATATAGGTTGCCGCTATGTCATTACTGCCTCACTATTGACTGACATCTGATGCTCTTTTCGTTTCTCTTAAGGCTGACACAGACTCACTAAAGTTGGATGCTTGGAGACAGCTTGCTTTGGAGGAAGGTATTATTTTTGTAAACATAGTTGCATATTGCTATACGACCTGGGTAAACACATACTAATGTAATTTATCTTGCGCAGGGAAGGACATCCCTACTGCTGCTCATATCCAAAAGAGTATTCTTCATGGTGCTGCTGACCATGTCCTTAGAAAGGTATGTGGGTGTTTTGGTGGATCTTTTGAACTTTCATACCAAGCCTACATTATCATATGGCAATTCAAGTTACAGAAATATTTTAGCAGCAAAAAAGATGTGAGAAAATTTATATGTTCCCTTTTAGCCCCCTCTTGTTTGTCGCTCCAATGCCTTCGCTTGAATAGGGTACTGATACATAAAGCATCAATTCTACTTATGCTTACCAGGTTTTGTATTGGGCAAAAGAGGATGATCAAATGGAAAGATTGAAGGCACGCCTTATCGAGCTTTACTATGAAAGCCTTTTCAGAGTAAATTTCCTCCTTTTTGCATCAAGTAGGGTTTTGTTTTACTCTATGATTGCCCCTGACTGTCTGATATCCATGTAATTCAGCTTGATACCCCAGTAGAAGGATTGAGAGAATGGTTGGATGCAGTTCGGACAGCAGGTATACCCTGTGCTGTGGCATCGTCCCTGGATAGGAGATGCATGGTTGAAGCTTTGGATAGGATGTCGTTAAGCAAATACTTCAAGGTTTTTCTGTCACCCTTTTTAGTTCCCCAATCTTTACTGCTCTGAAGAACATACTCCGTAGCTTAGGCAGATGGTGATTATTACAACTTTATTTTACTTTTTCCTTGTCAACTACAGGCGATTGTGACCGATGAGGATGACATGGAGTCAATAGCACATAGGTTTCTCTCAGCTGCTGTTAAGGCATGCATTTTCCCGACTACTAGTTGATTGGTGTTGCTGAACTGTGCGAAGAACATACCTCTCACATATTTGCTGATCTTCTCTTCTTGGCAGTTGGATCGGAAGCCCTCGAAATGCATAGTGTTTGAGGATGACCCAAGAGGCGTTACAGCTGCTCACAACTGCACTATGATGGCAGTTTCCCTGATTGGTGCTCATCCGGCGTATGTAGCACTGTTTTCCTTGGAGCAATCTTGTTGTTCCACTCAGTCACATATGTTCTGTTAGGAAAGTCAATAGATGCTTCTTGTGTGTAACTGTTTGTGGTGACATACAGGTACGAGCTGGAACAAGCGGACCTTGCTGTCGCGAGATACAGCGAGCTCTCGGTGATCAACCTCAGAAGGATGTTTGCACACAAGGGGCTAAGCTTCATGGACATGCAGAAGCAGATAATTGAGAGGTCACCGCCCAAGAGAAAGCTGACAGTAGACACCATCTTCTGATTAACTATTTTGCTCCGGTTCCCCATCTTCTGTTCTTGAACCGCTAGCCTGCCTGTGGCTTGCGCACTGTATATAGTGTTGCATTGCATGTGAGTTAGATAAGATAGTGGCGTAGTGCTAATCTTAGCTGATCCCGTCGTGTTGCACTCGTTCAGAGATCTCTGAATGTAGCAGCTGTATTCAAAATTACAGGGAGAAAATTGCCGCCGTTGCTGCTGCAAGCTAATGGCGGTATCGAATTTATTCATTATTTTTAAGTTACATGGAGATGACTATTGCACATTGCTAAGTCTTTTTCTGGATGAGCTGCATTCTCTTGAGGACGCTTTGGCTGATGGCACGTTCTTCTTTTAACTTAATACCTGCACCAGTGTACTACTCCCTCCGTTCCTAAATATTTGTCTTTTTAGGGATTTCAAATGAACTACCACATACGGATGTATATAGACATATTTTAGAGTATAGATTCATTCATTTTGCTCCATATGTAGTCACTTGTTGAAATATCTAGAAAGACAAGTATTTAGGAACGGAGGGAGTATTTCCTACACCGACGGACTGGCGTAGAGCGCAAACGTACAGAAAATGTGAAAATAATATACAGGTTGTGGGTTTCGTTAGTACGAAACCAATGCCATCATGAAAAATGTGAAAACTATGTTTTTTTGTGGATTTCATCATGAAAATGACCTCAGATTAGACGGCTTGGACACCTGAACTTTGACTCTGCATGCGAGAAAGCAGAGCAATTTCTGTTTAGGATTGCTTTTCTTTCGTGGCTTTCAAGAACAGTGATGAATTTCAATGTATTTTTTTGCTTCCATCAGCTCCCCTATGTATGAAAACTCTCTGTCAAACAGGCAGTTGAACGACCTCCTTTTCATTTCGGACGAATAAATGCAAAATCTTAGGTTGCTTGTTTTTCCCATCCTTTGTTAGCAACAGTCTGTGCCATGTACCTTTTTTTTCACGATGCAAGCCGGAGCAATGTACAAGCTCATTTCATAACAAATACTACATCCAAAGATTGAACAAGGGAGGTCAACAAATAAAACAAATTTAACCAACCCACAATCCATACTCTTTTTTTTTGAACTTATGGCACACTTTATTCAATCAAATGAAATATCTGTTACATCACTAACAAGTTCAGCTAGGATAATCTGCGGAGGATCACCCTCCCAAGAAATTACAGAATTAGAATCATAGGAACTCCTAGCGAGCTTAACCCACAATCCATACTTAATACCATCATTTGTGAAGAGCTCGCCTAGCGTAATGCGGTTAACAGGCAACTATAACAGAAATATACCTGCGGGACAGCACATTCAGCATGGATTGGATCCAAAAGAACTGAACATCAACAATCACAATTGCTCGACTGAACAAGACATGGTGACCTGCAAACATTCCTCTGAGGCAAGAGCCTTCTAACACAACAAAGAGGACCTCCTTTTCTCCTATTGAAACAATTGCCATGTGGAATGTTTGCAGTATTAGCAACCTTAACACGCTTGTGTCTATAGACTAGAGGGCTGGCTTTACGTACTCTAATTCATGGACCAATTCATAGACCGTGACACTGAAAGAGATTAGGGTGGGTTGTGTTACGCCCGCCACTTACAACAAATAGCTCCTGTGAATAAGACTTCTTGGCAGTGAATCAATTTACTAATGCTGCTTGTCTTGTTCTCATGCCTTTGTGACCACTGCAAGTAAAGCACAGAGTGCCATGAAGCATGGATGAAATTAGCCAATAAGGAAGTACTCTCGCCGTTCCATACAAAGTTGTACTAAATCAGCGACACTTAATATGGAACGGAGGGAGTATTTTTTATCAATTATCATTAAACAGGTCCAGAGTGTGCTGAGACTTGTCATTTCAGTGGCATCAAGTTCAGCGGATTCAACAAAATGATCGTCACTACTGCATAGATAATGGGAGGGAGATACTATCAGAAAATTTATTTGATAATGCAAAGTTGCAAGAAGAAACAACAAAAATAAAACTTTAGTAAGGCATAATCATGGAATTTTGGTAACAAAATATGAAGTCGAAAAATCTTGACTGGAGCAGCAACCTTTCGTTAGATGAATACCCCATGAGAAATACAGTGCTTCCCATGTAACTACTTGCCACTCAAATGGAACAGAACCAACACGACATGAAAATCAGTAGAACCTCAGAAGAACAGATGCTAGTGCACCCTATCATTTTTTTGACGTTGTGAGGATAAGGTTCACTAATCACTATAGAAACAATTCTACCCAAGAATACTACATATTGCTTGATTAGAATACTACATAGTGCTTGATCAGAATGTAGTTCAGCGGCCCACATGACTTGCTGACTCGAAGAAAATAAGTTGTTCACAGGGACCAGTATCACCTATAAAGTTGGCTCATCAGAAATTAACTCTGTGTTGAGTGAATAAATTATAGCCTGGGTGCATCCATATCAGGTTACATCGATCTATTAACGGACGTATCATTAATATATCTTACAGATCATTCATAATACAGTGAGGATTACAATTGTTGGCTCTTACCTGAACATTGAATTAGAGCCAGCATTCCACCATTCTTCTTGAACACTATAACCTTCTGACAATACCAAGAGAATGGAACACCTGAAACTATCTCATAGTGTGATTATACGACAATTTTACATACAAACATTTTTTATAAGATAAAATAATCTAGAGTAAAACAGCAGAAACACAGTCTTGCAATATAACATCTATTCCCACAACATACTGCATTTCTGAATTTGATGCTAAATGTACATTGCTCTTGGTCTCCTTAATCCTCCCCATCTAGGCCTTCTGTGAGATCAAACCTTCCATGGTTCAAGCAACAACACAAAAATGGCATGCAAACAACAGAGCTGTAGCAGTAACTACAAAGCATACCTATGCAATTACCTCAAGTACAGCTGGACTGACAGGAATTTAGAGGTCTGTGTAATCCTTGCTCAATCATAACAGTGTAATCAGAGGGCAACATGAGCACAACGTCTTAATGCATAAAAATTAACAAGCAATGTAAGAAAGCAGACTGTTGTGCAGATAAAGTTGTAGCACCTGATCATCATTGTAGCTCCAGAATAAATGTGCTATTCTATCACCAATTTACTAAAGCTCAAAGAAGAAAGTGGAAAGAATAGCCGTAGCCAACTGTAATACATTGATTGGATGCCTCTAGACTGCAGGTATAAATTAAATATAGAAATAGTGACATGAGAAACAAACTTCCGAAGCATAACGATATCATCAAAATGAATTAATAATCGATATAATCAGTGCAAGTTCAGAACTGAGTTCACTCATCTTTCAACAAAAATCATGTGAGACAGTGAGTCTGAATTTAATGGAAACACAAACATGGTATGGCCGCCAAACAAAATACATAACCTGGAATCTAATGTCAGTTACAGAGAACCCATATATTGGTACTGCTGTTGGATCTAATTACAAAAGCCAACAACAGTCATATGAATTCATTAGCAAGAGATGGTGTTTCAGATGCCATGCCACTTAAAAGGCAAAAAATGAATGGCACATAGATGATCAGGTACAGTGCAGGCGAGGGCAGTGCTTGCCCTGGAGGAACATCAATGCCAATAAGCATATTCAATATTCATACAACAAAAAAAATAAGAGAGTCACAGTCCATTTGAAATTTTTATTAGTGGAATATAAAATAATCAGCACTCACGGCTAAATTTAGGCCTATATGAGTAGTGAAAAGAGAGTGTACCCGTTATGTTGCAAAGAGGGACTGATACTTCCAGGCTTCCAGCCAAGAACTTGTCCATCTCTTATGTTACGCTGTCTTCAGCTCATCCGTGATCCATCAGCTATTCTGAAAGCAAAACAAATAAAACAAGTTAGATGCCTATGATAGTATGCATAGTTGCACACTGGCTAGAGAGTGTAACAAATCATAGACCATAAATCAGAAAACGGTAAATTAGGAACTCGTGGTGCTCCTGCGGTTGACCAAGTGGCCAGCCTAGTGAAGCATCAACGATGAAGCCATGAAGGAAGGGGGCGGAGCCGTGGGAAGAAGAGCAAAAGCATCTTGTAAACAAGGGCGATGTTTGGCAGGGGGAATCGGCGACGGCTCTCGCTGTCCATAAGTACGTCCGTCCAGTTGTGTTGCCTGAAGAAGGCCCAGCGGAGCAGTTTTACCGTTGGGAGGGAGGGATGGAGGCGGGCAGACGGCGGAGGGCAGGAGCTGGCGGCGCGAGGGGAGCGAGACGACACGTACCTGAAGAACGATGCAGGAGTGGTAATTTCACTGACGAGCGAAAATTAGAAGGAAAAAAACGTCGACAGCAGGGATCGAACCTGCGCGGGCGTAGCCCAACAGATTTCAAGTCTGTCTCCTTAACCACTCGGACATATCGACCTTGTTGTGCACAAAGCGAATCCTTAGTATTAGTATGGGAAGCTAACTTCCTTTTAATAAAAAAATTCACTCCACTATGCCTAGTGTCACTCTGCGATCGGTGGATCATCGCTCTGCACTAAATTGGATAGCAACATAAGAGTGGAGTTGCATTTTCTGTCTCCTCCATCAGGCATGTGAACTGGTTGAAAATCATGGCACACTTGACTCGTTTGTGTCTGACTAACACGGGTTAAATGACTGGTGTCCTCTCTGGGTTTTTCTTGTATGCCCGTGGCCTAAGCTTAGCAATTGCAAAACGGTCTATCATTTGTATTTTTATTGTACCACCTAAGATAGATCCTCAACACCACATGGTGCTTATGGTCGTATATATATTACACATAATTATTTTGCTGTCCCGCGGTAATGCAGTAGGACAAACTCCTCACATTGCCCAACAATTGTACTCACTTTGCTCAAAAATAATTGATGTATAATACTTCTTCTATAAAGAAATATAAGACTTTTTAGTTGTATTTCTTTCCAGAGGGAGTAGATTTTTGCGGATCTTTCTATGGACTTGGTTATTTTTTTTAAGTTTGACT